ACACTGGATTAAAGAAACTATTTATACTTGGGTTGGCCCAACGCACTCAAGAAAATTATAAAAATGTTTCTAAATTATGGACAAAAATAAATATCAAGTTTAGTGAGACAAATGCAACCGATTTAAAACTTTATGGCAAGCATAATGTCGAATAGTAGCTTTTTTCCTTGCACATGGTGTTGCAAAATGAAAGACAAACTTTGACAAGAACCACTAGAAATACTTTGCAAAACTATAAGTTGGTTACAGGGAGGGGCGTAAAGGCAAGAGCAAAGGATTACTAAAATTGCATCCATCCTCCTATTTTCAACACCGTTGAGGATAAATCTTTTCTTGATATTATACCTCCACCCGAACTACACTTAATGTTAAGTGTAGTAAACACAATCTTTACTCAAATGCAAACAGATTTTAAAAAAGAATCATTGGCCTGAGCAAAAACATTCAACGTTCAACGCGAGAAAACTCATGGTGGCAGTGGGTTCAAAGGAAATTCTTTTAAAAAGTGTCGACTTACTTCGAAGAGATTGCAGCCTGGGATGCCTAAAATTTGTATAAGCATTCCAAGATTTTCGAAAAGTAGTAGATTCATGCTTTGGACCCAAACTCTAAACATTCTATTGAAGTCTATTTAAGAGTTACCTATAAATATCAACTTCACTTCAAAAGTCCATGCAGTGTTTTTTCACGTCGTGGAGTTTTGCGAGAAAAATCAGCAAGGTTTAGGGTTCTTTAGTGAGCAGGCAACTTATATGGCGGTATTTAATTATACATTAATATATGTACAATGTACATATATTAATGTATAATTAAATACATTGTACAGTTACGGAAAGAAGTAATGTCCATTTGAATGCTCCATTGTAATTGTTCGGAGGCATTCGGAAATAGTCAACATCTGCCTCTTAGGGATTTATTTAAAAATATGTCTATATTTAGAATTTACTACCTGCTCGTATTGAATTAATTATTTTGGGTATTTAACATATTTAACTGTATTTTTATTAAATCGTTAATTTTTTGATATATTTTTGTATAGTTTTATAAACATTTATTCTATGAAAAAAACTTTTAATAAGAACTTTTTAGGCTATAAATAATATTATCAAGTTGTAGTTTTTTAAAACTAACTTTACATTTTTCAGAACTAGCAATGATTCAATACACTATTTTAGGAGTAAAAACACATTTTATTATTTGTTGCACTTTTATGTGTTAAAATTAAAAACATATATTTAAAATTTTTATATTTGGTATATTTTTAAATTAAATATACTAGGATTTATCAAAAAATGTTTAATATAATTATAATATAAAAGTTAACATACCTATAAAACTATAACATACATATAATAGTATATTATGTATCAAGTTTGATAAACGTCATTTTATACACGAATTTAATTTAGGCACGAGCGAGCTTGCGAGCGAGTTCTTAAATTAATGAGTGTATAGAAAAGTTTATAAACGAGGTGCATACTATACTTTTTCTACGACAAATACTTAATATAATAAGTATTTGTCGTAGAAAAAGTATAGTATGCACCTCGTTAATATATTATCTTAAAATGATTTAAATCAAAAATTTATATAGAGCGCCATCTATGAATCTGTGTGTCACCATCAAATGTCAAATTTTTTTATTTTATAAACACAGATTATAAAGGTTATAAATCGAAATGTATTTCTTGAAAATTGACAGTTTTTCACAGTGAAAGTAAAGAAAATGTTTTATGAGCACTTTGCAGTGAAGTCCGTGTCCGAATTTAAGTTATAGTTTACTGCCGGCGAAATTAAAAGGTCAGTACAATGTTCATATACACTTTTCAAATATTGGCATTGAGAAACTATTTAATACTTTTGTATTGTGATAATAAAATAATTTTCACATTTAGTATTATTTTACAAGAAAGGCAATTCATTTTAACGATTTAGATCAGCCCGTGACTAAAAACCTGTTGCTAACTTCAGCCCGTGACTAAAGCGCGATAAAGCCACAACTTGTCAATGTGTATTTAAAAGGTCACTTAGTGTCATGGAAACATGTACGATAAAGGGCGTTTTAAAGGTGGGAGTAGAAAAAAACTATAAAACATATAAAGATAAATAGCTATAAAATTATAAAATATATATTATATAAATATATAAATATTATAAAACTATAAAATATATATTATATATTTCTTCATATTTATTTATTGCTCTTTTATTATATGTAGGTTAATGTGTAAAAAATTATAAAATATTTATTTTTTAAAGTTATAATAATATACGCCGGCGCCGTTAAAATTATCATCGGCGCACACGTCGCGTATTTAGGCATAATTAGAGGTATAAGTTAATACTTGCCGAAAGGGCTAATCCTCATCCGGCTTAATAAGAAAAGATTACAACTTAAATACAAAAAACTTAAATTATGTCATAAAAGTAGGTAATAAATTTTACACACCCAAGTTCTTCCGGACTAAAATGTTAAAAAGTATTTTAATTTAATTTCATATTAATATTTTAAACGTAGGACAAATTATAATTATTAAATATTTTATAAAAAATATTATATAATTATTAGACTTATACAAAAAAATGGTCCTGTTAAAATGTAAGCTCTTAATATTACATTTACAGGTCCCTCATCGGAATTTTTATTTCCCATTAAAATAATATGAGATTTTTTAAAATACTTTAAAATTGTATAACTCGTAAACGGATTAGTAAAACTAAAACAAATTTTGGTAGGGCTCTTTTAAAAGGTATTCAAGGTGAAAGTTGAATTTATAAAAATTTTCAAGATTTTCAAACTTTTTCAGCAAAACAAAATTTATGGTAAAATTTAGTAGAACCTTTTTTTAGGAAAATATTATCTAAAACCATAAGCAAAGAAAGCTGCCTTTCTATTTAAAAAGAAATGGTAAATAATTACATTAATAATTATAGTTGAAGCATGGCATTCCCAAAGGGTTTGGACCCAATTTGGTCAAATATTATATTATCATTTAAAAATAGTCTATGTGCCATGCAGAATGACTAAAAAAATATTTTCCATTTTATTTTTGACACTTAGACCCTTTGGGAATACCAAGTTATAATAATTATAATTTTTTTCCGTTTCCATATTTTATTGGATTTTTATACATTGAAATAAGTTGGTATTGGGCAGATATTTCATAAAACAAGTAATGAAAACTAAAATGTTGATAATAGTATATTATTATACGAGAGATAATGCAGGCTATTATTCAAAAGGATAAGGTTTGCATGTCGAGCCGTCAGGCGAGAGACGTAATTTATCCGAGTAAATAATGCGCATTATTTCGAGTGTAATACTATGTTTGTTCCACTTTAATTAAGAAATTTTCATTGATAACAAAATGTATTTATTATAACCTCACTTTTCTACTATTTTAAAGATCATTATAGTCGCCCCTCGTATATATAAATAAATCTGACATCTGTAAACCTTACTTTTTTCTAATTTAAAACCCGATTGTTTCAAATATCAGTGAATATTAAAATAAGCCAATCACTAATACATAACAACGTATGTAAATATAATATTAATATAATATAATTCACTTTGATAGACCGGGCGGTTATATTGGTTACCATTATTTACGCAAAAAAAAAACAAAAAATATCAATAATATGCAATAGAAGTAGAAAAACGTATTAATAGTGCACAAAATGCATTTTAGTTTAAAATTTTATGGGTTTAATTAACATAGTAAGAATAAATATTTTAATTTATATTGCCCAGATAACAAAAAATCACATAAAAAGATAAATACATTAAAGAGGGTTATTAACAATTTTATTTTCAAAATTATGCAAAAGTTTATAATTATTTTAGTATTAAATGTCTATATTTCATTTAAATATATTATTTTATTAATAACAACTTATTAAATAATATATATTTATTTAATAAGTTATAGGACATAATATTATATTTAAACATTATATTATATTTAAATTATTTCAGAATCAATGTTATTCCTTAAATATTTAATTATTGCATAAAAGCTTAAAAGTCAAATGAAATGTGCCTAGAAAGAATGGTAAATAGCAGGTAGGTAGAATTATTGACTTTAAAAATAGATATGTTAATTTTATTAGCAAAACCCGAATGCCTCCGAACAAAGACAATGGAGCATTCAAATGGACATTACTTCTTTCCGTAACTGTACATACGAGTACATTTGACTGTGCTATATTGCCAAATTTAATAAAAAACCTAAATTAACTGTTATGCTTAATCCCAAATTTAATTAATCGACGTTTGTGCATACGACCAAAAGCCCAAAAACGGCTCAGCCGATTTTTTTATTTTTAGACTTAAATTGTTCTTGCGACATATTAAAACAAAGATTAGCAAAACAATTGGAGGTGCAAGTTAATATGTTTTATAGCTAGCCGTGACAGGTTTAATAATAATAATTAAGTTAACTTAGTGTATGAACAATGATTTCGATACTATTGTATTCTATTATATTTTTAATATCTATTGTACACTATTTATTAAAATATAGGTACATATTTGTATTAAGATAAAAAAAATTATCTAGCACGTCTTTTTTAATTGGTTGTCAAAGATTATCTATTTTAAATTATTTACTTAAAAAATATTAATAATTTTACATTAAAATCAATATTTATAAATATGATACATACATTTCGTTTCTGAGAAAAATATTACAAAATGTTACAAAAAAAAATAAATTCGCTAGTTAAAATTATGATAAAAAACATTTGAAGTCAAATTTAACATATTTTCAAATCTTGATTATGACTTTTAAATGATAACCCAACCTTGTTTTTATTTGCAGTTAACATATCTAGAATAATTAAATAAAGTTGCAGGCAAAATATAAAATTATTGTAACGGTTTTTAACATTTGCAAATGCCCTTTACTTTGCAAAAGTACAATATATATTTATCAAAAATAATCAATAATCAAGTGGTAACATATTTATAAGATATTCGATACAAACATTAAACTTACCACAAACATAAAATTGGCCACGAAAAGCATGTATTTCACGCATTTCATGCTGACGTTAAGGTCCGCTGTGTAGGGCATCTTGAAATATTTATTGCATACAAATTATAACAACTTAATAGCACAACACTCTGAACAAATATTATTCACAATTTTCACCTGTCGTATACGAATTGTTATCAGCTCTGATAAGTTTAATACCAGTAAAGCGCAATAGGTGTCAGGACTTGCGTGCACAGCTAGTCAATATTATTTGAAAATGTATGTCAAAATAGGTAATATTTACCAGTTGTACTAAAACACAGTGGCGGACTAAGACAGTCGGGGGCCGGGGCAGCAAAATAAAATGGGGTCCTTAAGTCTGCTTAGACTCAATTTTTCTCTAAACAGAGATTTTTATTATTTAAAAACTGTACATGGTTCAACACCTTCTCTTGAAGTAGATCCTCGCAACCAGGAGCCAAGATACTAAATAAAATTAAAAAATTGAAAATTGATTACAAGTATTTTCTTGGCGAGCTTAGATTTTAACTTGTTAATAATTTATTTTTTAAAATCATAGGGCCCACTTCTAGATAAAAAATAGCACAGGCCTACGAAATTTTTAAACAGACTGTGTTTTTATAAAGGTTTTTGATTTCAATTTGACCTTAGAATTGCTCCATCAGTTTTCCGCAAAATACGCCTTTATTTAAATTTCTTAAATAAAGTAAAAATTTGCTTCTTTTTAAAGCTGATTTTAAAAATTTAATCAAAATTTATGTATTCTTTATTGTTTTTGGATGAGCATTTGTTAAAAAAATGTAAGTATTGTTCGTAAATGTTTGTTTATATGTTGTAAAGATGGTATAGGTTACCTATAATAGGTACCACTCCTCAGTAAAAAATTATCTTGGCTTGTCGCCTAGGAGCTGAGAAAAAAATTATTGAACTTTTATGTGACTAAAAACCACAGAGCAGGTGTCAAAAATGACAGATGTTAAATAAATAATCTATTTTAAATTAACAATTGTTTCGCTATAACATTTGTTTCGGTATTTGAAATACATACAAAGTAATTATACGATATTTTCAATCTCTTCAAGTTTGGAATCAAATAATAGCCGCTGTGTAGTAATGAATCCATGTTTTATCCATTGTTATAAAAAAATGCAATGACACGTTGTCTTTTTCTGCTTCGCCCTAGCGAATTCGTAGAACGGTAAAATAACGTTGATTTTGCGTTGATTTAGTATTTAACTCCATAAATGTCAAGTTTTTAATTAAGCGTTACTTTTAATTTGTAGCAGTTAATTTCAACGCTCAGTCGAAGCAAAATATTTTCGTTAGTTTGAACCAAATAATACAATCAACACAAATTTAATGCTAGTTTTGTGTTCACAACCGAAAACCCAACTGTACATAGACTTACATTGGTGGGTTATTTTTTATAAAATGGGGACTACTTTGCGTTGATATTTTTTCTCAACACAAACCTAACACAATTGTAGATTTAAACCTAATAAAATTCCAACTTTATCATATATTCCAAATCTATTTTGTCCACGCAAATCCAATATAATATTATTTGGGGTTTTGAATGTTTTATACCTAGGTAGGTAATATGCATAATAACCCAAGGTAACTACACCATTTATTTTCCTTTTTATTAAACACTTTTTAAAAAATTATACATATATTTTATGTTTTAGTAGGAACCTACTTATTTTATTTGAAAATTAACATTTATTTTTAACGATGAATAAAAAGTTTATTTTTGAAAGGTAAGTTTGAGTTGTTTTTAATTTGGATTTTTTGTGATACATATTAATTTAGGGCGAGATTTTTTTTTAAATGTGAGCTATATTGAAAACAAACCAAACCAAAAGAAATGTAATGGTTTAACCGTAAATAAAGATATTATTATTATTAAAACATTGTAAGCGACAAATTCACGATTTTCGCTTTTTCGCATTTTTTTAACCTACTGCTACTACTCTTCCTAAAAATAAATGCCAAATCATCAATTTTTTGCGGGAAAACCCAGCTTTTATTATTTTTTTAATTGTAACTAACAATTTTTAAAAAAAATCCTGGTAAGAAAACAGTAAGGGTGCATACAATTTCATTTATAATGCCCCTTTGAATTGTAAAGTGCTTTACAATTCTAAAAAATCTCATCTTTGGTGCACAAAAATGGCAACAGCCATTACAATCATTTTGCATGGATATTTTAATGGATGGTAAAATTGTAAAGTACTTTACAATTCTTTTGCACGGAGAATAAAATCTTAGCATGTAGATGCAATGTTTTTACTTGGAAACTATGCAAACCGCGTGTCATTTACAATGCATTTTCTAACCTGGAAATTTTGTGTATATAAATACGGTCGCGTAGACAGGCCTTCCAGTCGTTCCTGTTAATTCCCCAATTTTTAGTGTTTATTAAAATGTCATCCAGAGCTAGGCGAATGGTGGAAGCCGTAAGAAAAAATGAAGGTATGTAGAAAATTTCTTTAATACATTACAAGGTGTTCCTAAATCATGTACTAACAAAAGGGGTGATTTATTGGGTCATTTTATGAAAAAAATTTCATATGTCCGTAAATTTATTGTTTCCAAGATTAAACTTCTTTTTAAAAATCTTTTATTTTTTTAATAATATCTGAAATAATATACTACTTACTGGTAATTTTTTTTTAATTTAGCAACGTTGTTTGTAATAATAAGGGGCAAATTAAGGTGAATTATTCAAACCTGTTTAAAATAATCATTTAATTCGCTATTTTTTATTATGATAGATCGAGTGATACATGAACAAAATGCCTCTGATGATATTGAAGAAAACTACGAGTATAACAACTTCACAAATAACTCCTGTGGAAAATCAAGGTAATTTCATAAAATAATAAACTTTGCATAATAACAATTAATTCATTTTTTTGAGAAACAACACCTAGTTATCAGAACATTGTTTACAAGGAGATTCAAAAATAAATCAAGATTCAAAAAGTTGTATCTACAAAAAATCAGTGGAATGCAAAAACTTTATGTACTTATAAGATTTTCTTTTGTTTTAGATCCTCGCGTTGTCATAGAAAGCCTTTATTTCATTCCAGAAAGTATTTTTCCAAATAATGATGAAGACCTGATAAAATCTTTAGAAAATGAAAAACACGTGGTCCAAAAAGACGTGGTTCAGAAGGATATTGAAAATTCAGTAGCTAATCTTGACACTTTTCTGCCTGCTGATGATTTGGGTAGTATTAAAGATCGTGATGCTAATAAAGTAATTATTATTGCCTCTAATAAAATTTCTACGTGTAATACTTTATCATCTAATATCATAATATTCTGTTTGATGACATTAAATCTATTATCCAGTGTACAAAGTGTAATAACTGCTACCACGCTAAATGTGAAAATGTGGAGTTAAGAGGATTTCATTTAAAAAAATCGAATTGGAGTTGCAAATCTTGTAATGATGGAACTGAGATAATGAAAGAAGGTGGTAGATCTAAAAAAAGAAGTCGCACGGATCTAACAAGCTATATAGAGATCGACTTTTTAAACCAAGTTCTTGAAAAAATCAACCATCTAGTAAACACAACAGAAAAAATGAATGAAAAGATGGATCAACTTATAATAGAGAATACAAAATTGAAAGAAGAAATAAACAAAATAAAATCCGAGGAGAAAGTGATAAACTCTACTATAAAAACTGTGTCGTACTCCTCAGCTCTCAAATCCGACAGTAAAGTATTGGTTATTAAGCAAAAAAATGGTGCTAAAGACGTACAGTATCACGTAATGATATTGGTGCTGGTGTAACAATGGGTAGGCAAACGAAAAATGGAGGCCTTATCCTCAACTGTGGAGCGGAAAAAGAAATAAGCACTATACAGGCAGAAATCCAAAATCAGATGGGGGACACATATGAAGTAGATAGGCCGAAGTTGTTAAACCATAGAATACGAGTTATTGGAATTCACGAAAGTGAATTTAACAATACCGATGAGGAGATCCTTTTAAAGGTATTAAATCAGAATGGAATCGAAAAAAAAGAAAACACGAGAGTAAAAATATTGCGTAAAACTAAAGTGCTAAATAAAAAATTTAAAATCATTTTTGAGATGGACAATGATTCATACAATTTATTTATTGAACGAGGAAAAATGAACATTGGGTGGAATAGGTGTATGTTGTTTAGTGACTTTGGAGTTATTAAGTGTTATAATTGTTGTCGATATGGTCACATTGCCAAAGACTGTAGTGAAAAGAAAGTTTGTCCTAAGTGTAGCGGTCCACATGATTTTAATGAGTGTAAAAGTGATGTCACTAGGTGTACCAACTGTATTTTGTCCAATGAAAAATATGGTTTAAAACTTAAAACTAATCATACCTCCTGGGATATTAATGTGTGTGAAACCTACAAACGTGTAGAAGATATCCAAAAAAATAGATTTACTAAATAGCAATCAAAAAACCTGTTCCAAGTTCCAAAAAACTGTAAGAGTGGTAAGTCATTTAAAGTGTTTCATTTAAATTGCCGCAGTATACGAAACAAGGTACTCGAACTAGAAACTTTGGCGGCGAACCTAAATCCTCAAATAATGTGTTTCACCGAACATTGGTTGTCTCCTGCAGAAATTAAACTATACAATATACAGAACTATAAGCAAATAAACAATTTTAGTAGAGAACACATAAAAGGTGGTGGTACTGTTATTTATGCGAAAACCAACTTGTCAATGTGTCCTATCTCGTACAACGTGACTGCCGTCGAAAGAGTTTTTGAATATACCTCCTCGAAACTGTATTTAAATAACAAAAAAACAATAATTGTTTGTGTATATCGTTCTCCAAATGGTAATATTAATGTATTCATTAATCTTATAAATGATTTACTTGAAAATATTAAATGTGAAAATTGTTATGTAATTGTTTGTGGGGACTTTAATATCGATTTTGGTAATAATCAAAATATTAACAATAATTTAGTTTGCGACCTATTCTCTTCTTTTGGATTGCATAGTCACGTAAATGAAAACACAAGAGTAGGAACAAATTCTGCAACAAGAATTGATAATGTGTTTTCAAACTTTCCACTTCACTTAATCACTTGCTCAGTTATAGAAGATGACATTTCTGACCATTATGGTCAAATGTTAACTGTTAATGAGACAGATTTAAAGGAAAACAGATTATTTGTGTACAGGCGCTCTTATACTAATTGGAATAAATCTAATTTCTGCACAAAAATTCGAGAACAGACTTGGCAATGTATTACACCCGGTATCTCCCCTAATGATTACTTTAACTGTTTCTATAATACATTTATTTTTCACTTTAATGCATCATTTCCCGTACGAAAAGTTTCAGTAACAAATAGAAATCGCCATTGGGTTACAAACGAAATTAAACAATGGTCGAAAAATCTTAGAGAACTCTATTGGCTGACTAAACACTCAGATCTCCAAGAAGTTAAAGACAAGTACATTCAAGAAAAAAGGATTTATAAAAATTACCTTTACTATTATAGGAAAAGTTATAACGAAAATAGAATACTAAATTCCAATAATATTAGTCGAGAAACCTGGAGAATTTTCCACTCGCTATCAAATAAACGTAACACTGAAAATGGAAACTTGCAAATTGAACATAATGGAGTTTTAATTCAAGATCCAAAAATATTGGCAAATCTCTTTAATAAAACATTTTTGAAGTTGCATACTAATGAAATACAAATAAATGATTCGACCTCTTAGCGATATTGCGAATTATTGTTTTTCAAATGGGGTATTTCCTGACTCTTTAAAAATAGCAAAAACACTACCATTGTATAAAAAAGGTGGTCCTACAAATATAAATAATTATAGACCAATATCTCTGTTGCCTGTGATGTCAAAAATATTTGAAAAACTGCTAAACACGCGTATTATTGCATATCTAAAAAGTCATAAACTGTTATCTCCAACGCAATTTGGGTTTTTACCAAAAACCTCAACTACCCATGCAGTGTATAAATCTATTAATGACATTCTAGGCAATCTAGAGAATAAATTTATGGTCGCAGGAGTCTACTTTGACTTGTCAAAGGCCTTTGACAGCCTCCATCATGAAATTCTGTTAAACAAAATTGAGAGCTATGGTTTCCGTGGCACATCACTTAATCTTATAAGATCTTATCTTTCAAACAGATTTCAGGTTGTTAGCATAGATTCTGAACAAAATAATCAAAAAGTAAATTATTTGTCTGAAAAACTGCAAATTAAACCAGGCGTACCCCAAGGATCAGTACTAGGACCAACCTTGTTTTTAATCTATGTTAATGATCTGTCAGTCAAACTTCAGGGCCTTTGTCAATTCGCGGATGACACTTCTTGTGTTGCTGTGGCTAGGACCATTCCCAATCTATCGAAATACACCGAAAATATAATAAGTGTAATGTCTCAATGGTGCAAGGAAAATGGTCTATTGAATACAACAAAAACCCAACTTATGGTCTTTAATAAAAATTTTAATGTTAACTTGCGCAGCCTTCTTGTCCGTTTTGATGGAACGACAGTTGTAAATAATGACGTGGTTAAGTTTCTTGGACTCCAAATAGACTCGAAAATGTGTTGGGACTTTCAAATTAAAACTGTCATATCAAAAGTCAATTCTGCTAGTTATCTATTAAGATATCTAGGTAACCACGTCACTATACAAAGTTTAAAAACATTTTACTTCTCTTATGTTCAGTCTGTTTTAAGTTATGGTATAATATTTTGGGGATCCGGTGTTAAATTTGAGTCGGTTTTTATTGCTCAAAAACGTGCTATGCGAGCAATGTTAAAAATAAGCAGAAGTGTATCATGCAAAGAATATTTCAAAACGCATCAAATATTACCGCTGCCTTGTCTATATATTTACCATCTTTTGATGTTTGTGAGACAAAATTTAAACTTATTCGTCAGAAATAATGATGTTTTTAATGGTATGCATACCAGGGGAGGTACATTGCTAAGGGTTCCCACACATTATTCCGAATTGTATCATCGAAGCGTTTTGTACAGATCTGTTCAAGTTACAAATAAGTTACCAAATGAAATTAAGGACATCCCATCAATTACAGAATATAAATATGCTGTAAAAGATTTTCTTCTCCAGAACTGTTTTTACTCTTTTAATGAATTTGTAAACTTTTAATTTGTTAGTGTAGGTATTTTACTTAATATTTTAATGATTTTAAATAATGTATTTTAATCTTAAATTTACTATTATATATGTAGGTATATTATTAATTTATTGTAACCTCTTGACGTTGTCGATATCATTGTAATGATCTTATGACAATAAAACTATTATTATTATTATTATTATTATCTGATTCAAGATCTTTCTGCCCTGATAAAAATATTAACGAAAGCTTCTTTGTTGACGAAGATATAACTAGCACTAGCAGTGAGTATGAATATAATAGCTCAGATGAATCATCTAGTTCCAATTCGAGTCATGATGAATTACCAAAAAAAGAACCAGTTCAACTTTGCAGAAACCTTTAGCCAAAAAACCAAGAAGCAATTTCGTTCATGAAACCGCTGAGACTGAATTATTGAAATCTAAAAATCAGACCAGTGGATCTGAAGCTGAAGGAAAAGCTGAAGGAGAAGCTGAAGAAGAACCTGAAGAAGAAGCAAGAAGTATGAAACGGAAAAGAACAAAAGACCCTCAAAGATGGAAAAGGCAAATAATAAAAAAAGTGCAATCGGGAGAAGAGCACAGAACAAAATCAGGACGAATTATAAAAAAGAAAGTTATGAAGGAAGCATGTAAATGTAGGAAACACTGTTCCGAATCAATAAACGACGAAAAGAGAAAACAAATTTTTGATAAGTTTTGGTCAATGTCAAATTATAGCAGGCAGTCAGCGTTTGTGGGAAGTTGTGTAAGAAGAGTACCAAAAAAGAGAGTAAAACCACAAGACGGTGAACAGCCTAGAAAAAAGTCCTCCTTAATATACAGCTTTTCGATCAAATCAGAGGAGTCAAATTTAAGTACGTGTATGGAAGTGTGCAAGACAATGTTCTTAAATACATTGGGTGTCACAGACATGTGGGTGATGACCGCCTTAAAAAAAAGGATGTTTCAGTGACTGGCACCGTAACACCTGATAAAAGAGGTAGGCACTCATCTCGACGATTCGTCATTTCTGAAGTTGTTAAAAAGAGCATTAGAGATCACATAAACTTGTTCCCCAGAGTGCCGTCTCATTACTGCAGAGAAAACACATCCAAGGAGTATCTGGAAGATGGTCTAAGCATTGCAAAAATGTACCGTCTCTATAGGGATTGGTGCTCTGAGAAAAAATTAAATTTAGTGGCATCTGAAAGGCAATACAGAGACCTCATGAATGATGAGTTTAATATAGGTTTTTTTTCAGCCAAAAAAAGATAGATGTGAGACCTGCGTTGATTTTGAGTTGAAGGTTTTAAAGACTCCTGACATAATAAACTCTTATCAGAAACATTTGGATGGAAAGAAGAGATCAAGAGAATTGAAAGAAGCCGACAAGCTCAGAGCCGCCGACAAGAACGAAAAGTTTTCTGTGTGCTGTTTTGATTTGCAACAAGTTATTCAGATTCCTCAGTCAAACACCTCTGTATTTTATTACAAGCTAAAGCTCTCAACTTTTAATTTAAGTATATTTGATATGGCTACAAAGGAAGGCTTCTGCTTCATCTGGCATGAGCAGATTGGTAAAAGAGGAGCAAACGAAATAAGTAGTTGTGTGTATCGATTTTTAATGGAGAAGGCCAATGCGGGTTATAAAGAAGTAACTTTATATTCCGATAATTGCATCGGTCAAAATAAGAATAGGATGATAGTTTCAATGTATTATTATATTTCAAAAAAATACAACATCTCAATATGCCATAGGTTTCTTGAGCCCGGCCATACACAAAACGAGAATGACAGCATTCATGCTTTAATAGAAAGAAAGAAAAGAGAAATGGATTTATTCACACCTGACCAGTTCATTCAGTTAGTAAAAATGGCTAAAATCTCGGGAAAACCATATAAGGTGCATGAAATGAGTCAAACAAATTTTTACGATTTTAAAAAATTCAGTGATAATTTCAAAAATTTTTTGAAGGATTCCGAAAATAGAAAAATTTGTTGGAACAACATCAAGGAAATAAAAATTGAAAAAGAAAATCCCTAAAATATCCTCCTTAAGTATGATTATGACGACAATGAACCTGTTATTCTACAGTTAACAAATAAAACGACACGATTATCTGGATCTACAAAAGACTTACAAGAATTAAAACAATGCTACAGCTCTAAAATTCCTCTTACTAAAAAAAAGTATGAGCACTTACAGTTTTTAAAGAATAAGGTACCTGAAACATATCGCTATTTCTACGAGTCCCTAACATTTTCAGAAGATGTTCGCGATAATGATTCTGACTAATATAACACATTTTTATGTTCATGTTTTACTACATAATTTAGAACAGGTTTTCTGTTTTTTGAATAAAGCTTAATTTTTTTTTGATTTTTTTTTCTTTTTTCTCTAAGAAATTATACATTGTAAAGTCTCTTACAATGTTTTTGTTTGGAAATGTCTTAAGGTTTCAAAATTGTAAAAAACATTACAATTCACGTTCTTAAAAAAAATTCCGGACAAAAACAATGTAAGTGCCAATACAATGTTTTTTCTGCTGAAATTGTGTTTTAGCATAATTGTAAGTCACACAAAAAAGCCTAAAACTAAGTTTAATAAACAAATCGCCCCCACAAACTATTTTGTGACCTTCCGAAAAAAGTAATCAAAAAGTCGCAGAAAAGTTTTAGTCATTTCTGAAAGACTAGGAGCGATTTAAGAGTCGTCAAATTTCAAATCGCTCTCCTGTAAAATTTGAAATTGTCACTTACAATGTTTTCTTTTGGACCAACCAAAAATGGCCCACCCACGGATTTTTTTTAATTAGTTTTTTACATATACATATACCGGGTGTATCTGAGAATAGGCGCACCCCTGTAACTTTTTTATTTATAGAGAAGGAGACATAAAATTTAGCATGGTTAATTAGGATATAAAATTCCAATTATTAGAGTTCAAAATGAATTTTTTGATCTTCCGGTTTTGCTGGAAATGATATCAACTTTAGATTTTTAAATGGAACGCCCTATATATTTTTACATATTTAGAATCCTGATAAAATTTATAGTCGGACAGCATCCTCAAATTAACCTTTCGACGTTTCCTCATCAGAAAATGCATAATCATAAAGATCAATCTAGAGTGCTTTGAACTATGTTATTTTCTTCTTATGAATTCACAGAATGCCTGAAAAATGGAACTTCCCTTAGAAAGTTGCCTTAGATAGTTGATTCCCTGAAAATTTGAGCCCTTAATATTAACTCAAAGTACCCTACCAAAGCGTATAAAGATTTCCTATTTAAAATACACGTAAACTTTGATTATTTTTTTTTAAATATCTATATCTCAGCCGCATTTTATGGTATTAAAAGTTCTACAAAAATGCTTAATGTGCCATAACTGTAATCTGCACCTCTAGGATGGTACGGAAAAATTCTCATATTTTTGAAGATATTTCAAAAGTGACTGGATTCTTTAAAAAAATATAAAGGAAAAACTTGTAGAAAATTTAATTTTCTTAAAAAAAGTCTTATCAGTTGAAGCGCTAAGATTGATATTTGTTGAGATATAAAGCGTTTACATTGACATTTTATGAAATTTTCAGGATTTTCGTACCAAACTTTTATAAATGATGATTTTCAATTGTTTATCAGTACAATTTCATGTAATTACGTTTTTTCTATAGTCGGGTGATTAGAGAAAAATAAATAACTAAAACAATCAAGCATAATAATTATGCTATTAATAAAATAACATGCCAGACACCTCGGTTTATAATAATAATAATAATAATTTGTAATAAAAAAAAATAATAATACATTTCAATGATATGATGTGAAGGAGGGAACGTTCTCGATTGTGCTCGGAGAAGCTTCGCGAAGATTCGCGAAGCTTCAAATGAATTTGCGCGCACTTTCATGACCTAGCATTTTGGAGCACAATCGAGAAGCTTCCCTTGAATATGCTCGAAAATTCTCGCAAAATGCTTGATCGGCGTATGACATCCGGGTAAGGCTATGCAGTATTTCACTGTACAAACAAATAAAAATCTTTATGAGTGTAAGTTTTGTCATTCGCAATATACGAAACATGCCACAAGGATGACCACTCATTTATTGAAATGTAACAGATTCCCAGAATAAATAAAAAAATATTTGACGTCGTCAAGTAATGATTTTGTTAACGAAATAGGGGAATCTTATGGAAGTTGTAGGTAAGTTATAATTATATTTTATTACTCAGGGTTAAGGCTGAGATGATTTTTATCAGTTAACTAAAATCATGGTTTTAATAAAAAAAATATGTTGGAAATTTACCAAAAATTAAAAAGCAAAGTTATCAAGATACATTTATTAAAAAATAATAATTAGACATCGGATCAAATAAAGTAATTGGCATTGTGACAGATAATGCCGCCGCAATGGTTAAATTCCGAAAGATAGTTGCAGAGCAACTAAAAATTATTGAATATGGATGCATTTCCCACTGCCTTAATCTTTTAGTTGGCAAAATAATGAAGTGTAATAGTTTAAAAGATATTAAAGGCCACTGTAAACAAAATGTAAAAGAAATATCCAACTCAACGAATTATTGAAGAGGAGACAAGTGATAACGAAGTCTGATGGTTCTGAAGACTTTGAGGATCTATTAGAAAATGAAGATGTATTGGATTAGATTCTAAGCTCTTGAATAAAAATATTTTGTTTTGTTTACCGGTTTAATAATATATATTATATACCGCAGTTTGGGTACATTTTTAGTTATACACTAAGAAAAATTGGGACAAATAAACTGTGTAGCTAATACTTTTTATTAATAGTGAATTTATTGTTTATTACCTCTAAATAGTCGAAATAATAATCTTTAGTAAATTTACTAAAGTTAATTTATCGTTATTATTTCGACTATTTAGAGGTAGGTACATAAGAAACAATATATTCATTATTAATAAAAAGTATTAGCTACACAGTTTATTTGTCCCATTTGTTTCTCAGTGTAGGTATTATTTTTTCAAAGTGATATTTTTGTTATTTATATGTTTTTTATGTATCTGTTCGATTAAACCATTTAAATTTAAAGTTTTTTTATAAAGAAAAGATTTTAATGCCCAGAAAAAAGGTAATCTTCTCGAGAATATTGAGAAAATTGAGAATCTTCTCGAGAATATTGAGAAAATTGAGAATCTTTTCGAGAATATTGAGAAAATTGAGATACTTCTCTAGAATATTGAGAAAATTGAAAATCTTCTCGAGAATATTAAGAAAATTAAGAATCTTTTTGAGAATATTGAGAAAAAACGTGCAATGTCCTAATTCGACTATGCTGTTAATAAATTCTCGGGAATTTATCGTTTTTGCTAGTTCTTGCTCGTTTATGCTCGTTTATTCTCGTTTATGCTCAATTTGCGTTCTCCAAAAATAAATGCTCGAGCATTTTACATGATTTCATTTTAATAATAATACAACAAAATGGACTGGAAGGCAGACGAATCTGATTCAGGGCCGGCTTAAGGCAATCAAGCGCCTTAGGTACCTACTTAAAAATTTGGCGCCTATTACTAGATACTATGCTTATACTATACAATCTGGTAGCTTAAGGGCGCCCGGGCATACTTACCTTATTATTCCTTATAAATTAAAATATTTTTTCTACGACCACTATGTAAAAGTTACATTTCATATTGACATCAATGATTAGAAAATGAATCTTTTCATTGGCAAGGCAAAACACGAATATAAAGTGACATTTTTGTGTGAAAAGTGACAGGTCTGTGTGAAAAGAAATTGACAGCATCGTTTGACATTCGTTTCAAATTTTATATTGTATTTGTATATGTATGTCTAAATATCATTTAGAAAACAATTAATTGTGTTTGTATAATAAATTCTAGTTTTTAGTGCCTTTATTTAAATTGAGGTAAGTTTACTGATTTTAAGTAAAAAGAATAAGATGAAAGAATTTTAACAGCTGTCAAACACGTTTTTAGGTTATTTTGTTTAGTATTTAAATATAATAAAATATAAAAGGGTCGGAGAAAAAATATTGTGTTTCACTTGTGAGAAAAGCTTTCTTCAAGCTCGTGTTAATGCACACTCGGCCTAACGGCCTCGTGGGCAACTTAAATACTCGCATGAAAAGGTCGCTTTTCAACACTAGTAAAACAAATAACTATTTTATTAAAAAAATATAAAAACATAAATTAAAAATGTTTAGGACGAGTTATTTTTTTAGACATATTTTGATTTAGTCTGTAAGTAATATCTATAGATATAGTCTCTTAAAATGAATAAGTCAAATTTTACGGAATGAAACAGTCAAATTAGTAGACGCACCACTGCTACTTATTAAATTTATGATATCTGTCAATAAATATTGTTAATAATATTGTTAAAGTTGAATATATTTTTTGTGTTGGAGCTAAACTTTTTGCATCTTTATTTTTATGGACCATGGAGCCTATATGCATTTAACGCCGCAAGAATTAAAAACGATTAAAGAAATCAGTTACTTATTACTCTCAGTAACAGTAAAATATGGCGACTTATCTTAAATTAGTCAAACTTTAACTAATTAAGTATAGGTACTATAGTAATAAATAAATATTTAAAAGTAAAAACGACTATTTAATTAGTAAACAATGCTGATACTAATTTAAATAGTAGAATTTTTACTATTTCATTTCAAGAGAGTAAATAACCATATTTGGTAAATTATAATTATATATAATTATGTATAATATAGGTAGTTTAAATAAACTTAAATTGACTTAAGAGTTAAAAAGTAGTTAAAAAAGGGTAAAATAAACCAAAAACTATCAAATATTAACTTCTTTTTAACCAAAGTTAACCAAGAAGTTAAGTTTAACTATCATAAGGGGTCATCCATTAATTACGTGAGACAATTTTGGCGATTTTTCGACTCCCCCCTCCCCTTGGTGAGATGTCGTGAGATTTTGCTCGACCCCCTCCCCCTACCTTAATCTCACGTGAGATTTTTTAAAATGCATGGTTTTAATGTAAATAAGTTAATCTGTGATCTGTGAAAAAAACAATTTTCTTATAATTGTTAACTTAATTTAACCCGTTTTTCTCGCAATTTTACACTGTTTAATTCGAAAAGAAAAAGTTACGTGATATTTGCCGAGAGCACCCTCCTCCACGTGAGATTGGGTGAGGTTTGGCTTGACCCCCTTCCCCCCCTAAACACCTCACGTAATTAATGGATGCCCCCTAACGTTAATTTTATCATAATTAAATTGCCCACTTATTACAAAATAACGTTAATTTAAACAGTGGTGCTACTTGGGT